TTCCTCGGTCGGAGCTCACGAGGGGGAAGTTTCTCCATGGTGCTTGTAGCTATTCTCAAGCAAATTACCCGGCACAATTACCAGAAGTGCGAAGGAATCCATGTTTAAAAATTATCATTCTTCTTACGGTAATTATTGCCTCACCAAAAGCGGCAGATCTCGAGAGGTGTGACATAAAAATAGTTGGAAGAAAATACCGCCTGTCCGTTTCGCAGTGGTGTTACCATCAGTAGCGCACACGGACGTTTGAAATGGTCAGTAGGACCCGAAACTCTACTACTTAGAATTGCGAAGCCACTTGGAAAGTTCTTTGTGTGCAACAATTGCCGCTGAAGCTGTGAGAGGGAAGAGCAAAATGCCTCTCCTAGAGCCTGCTCTTTACCGTTTGAATGATTGCACATGGGTACGTGGAAGTGACTTGGTTGTGTTGAGTGTGCTTTTACGTAAAGTTTTTCCGTCCCCAAAAAGCACGTTACACATGTCGAGGAAATTATAAATGCGCTGCCTCCATTGCGTGGCTGCACATTAGCTGGATGGAGCGTGGCATGATTGCTGGTGCTTGGGTGTAGGTGATAAAGGCGCAAGCAGAGAATACAAGCTGTCGGAGCTGTAAGGCAGAATTAATTTCTTTTAGGGATTTCCTAGTGACATCACTCATAATTATATAGCTTAAGCCTCTAATCTAGTGTAGTGCCTTCAGTTCACATTGGGCCAAATCCACCAAGTCCTGAGATGATTTCTATTCCCGCCCACCTGACTGAATCATTTGGAGTTTTGCTTGTGTAAGCCACTGATTTAAGGGGAATGGCCCAATTACTTTAAATAGGAATTGAAAGCAACATCAGTCAGGATCGGGCCCAAGCATCGCACAGCTCTCCCGTGAGAGCAGACGGGTTGATGGTTAATTTTTACTTCAGAAAGAAACGGTATTTCCAGCTTCTTGTTCCACTGAAGAGAGGCAGCATAAAATACTAGATGCAAGTGCGGTTGATATGCTTGTGGTATCTTTCTGATACACTGTGGGAGACCACAGGGGGAAAGGAGACTTGGTTATCATACTGAAGCTGCTGATTTGTTGTTTATTAATTATTAACCAGGCTTTTGAGTGCCTGCTGCAGTTTGAAGAGCCAGCACGGGAAAAGGACTAGGTATTTAAAGCAGCATATGCTTTTGCTAAGTAGTTGCTGTGGCATTAGAAATAGTCTCTGTTTTTGAAAGCATTTTAAAAGCTGGAAGGGGGCACACTGAAGTTGTCACACAAGATCCTTCACTGGCATAAATCGAAGCCTGTGGAGCTACAGTGATCTGCACTTGTTGAGCCTCGGGTATTCAGGCTGGAATAAACAGCTTTAATAGAGCAGTGGAGCTACGGTGATTTATGGGAGTGCCTGTACTTGCTAGATGTGGTTTCTGTCCTCACCCTGTTGATGTCTGTGGCAGAGCTTTCACTGACTTTACTGGGGTCAAGATTTGTCTTACTGGACGTGGTTTGTCCTTTCCGTTGAGCAAGTTTTAGTCCCTACTCAATCTCCCTTCATATTAGTAGGTTTTTGCTGATCTGAACAGATCTAACCCCTTACAAATGAGGAACAGCATACTCTCTTCTTGGCAGAGGCAGCAGACACTATCTTTCCCCTTAGTAAGTTCACACAATTTACAGCGTGCTGCTTTTCTTCTGAATAAAAACCTTAGAAGAAACAATAAGTCCTTCTGTTTTTCTTCTAAAACTATCTTTGCTTTTGTGTTTTTTGGGTTTTTTTTTGCCCAGAAAGGCTGCTCCCTGTATTTATAGATGTGTTTGTGTCTGGAGTTTGTAGGTTGCAGCCCTTGCACTGGAAGAGTTGCTGTAGGTTGGGAATCAATAGGTCGATAAGCTCTCTCCTGTTGATCAGAGGCAGGTACACTAAAGGAAAGCAGTTGCTGGTAAATGTTGGCTATAGTAGGATGGGTATGTTTCCTCAGCAGCATCTTGACTGTGTGTGAGTGGTTTGGGACCAGAAGAGCTGGCTGGCTGTGTTTCTGATGCCAGTGTTTCTTCCAGAGGGGGAAGGTGTTCTTGGTCCGTCAGCGTGCGCGGTGTCGGTTGTGGTTGTTCAGTGCCTGAGTGTCTAGGGTGGGTGAAGCCAAAGATAATACTAAAAGCCTGATGATGTTGCTGATTATTTGGGAAGTTTTTACCTTTGGAGAAGTTTATCTAGGTTTGTATTCATATTCATATTTTAATTTTCTACAAAAAGGTACTTATCCCCACATCCTTACGAAAGCACTGTGTATGTACTCACTTGGATATGTCAGCACTCTTGGAGCTTCAGTTCTGCCAGATGCCGCTAGATCTTAATTTTCCTTGTAGAGTAAGGTTGCTAGAGACCTCCTACAGCTGTCTTCAATATTTTTTGCTACTCTGCCCCTTGTGCAGTAGTATCCTCTGCGTTAGCACAATGCATTATTCCAACAAGTTTTAATCCTTGAGTAACGGAAAGGAGAAAGTGCTGTGGTACAGATGATTTATGAGTAGAATACGTAACTTCTTGTTCGTTCTGTACACCTCAGTAATTTCTTACAGCCTTTCAAAGAATCAAACTAGAATATTTGCTGCTTAACTGATCCAGAAGCACAGTCCTGGAATAACAAATGAATCAATTTAGACCTGAACGTGAAGTCCACTCAGTGGAAATCAATCTGGATGTGCTTTACAGCTAACGTCCTTGCTCCATGGAAGTCAGTGGGACTTTTACCATTGACTTCGGCTGTGTCTGATTTCATTCTTGGAGCCTGTTCCCGTTACTAATGATGTTAGTGAAAAATGTCATTAGGAAAGCGCTTGGATCCCACATGAGATATTTGACCTATGTGTCAGGCACAGATCTCGTGCCACACTTACTGCTGTGTTGAGAGAGAGACCGCAGTCAGGCTGGCCTCTCTTCCCATCCCTAGGAAAAGGAGATATGTTTAATGAACGTGGTGTGCCATAACCATCAAGTTGCCCTGAACTTTTGAACACAGCAACTTCAAACTGCATGAGCGTGTGCCTTTTCTGTCAATCCCATCAGGTCCCTACTGGTTCAAGGAGTGCCCGGTCTTTTCCTGGGCATAAGCCATTTCTAAATTTTAGGTTTAGCTTTGTGCTTCTCCAGTAGGTGCTCCTGCAGACCAGAAGGTGCTACTGCTGGCTCAGGTGAATGAATGTCTGCTATCTGTAGGTAGGCTTTGGCACGCTTTACAGGCACCGGCTGTGCTGAAATACAGAGGTGCGCTTCCGAAGCAATATCAAGCAGTTTTGTGAGTCACCCAGGGCTCTTGGATTACAGGATGGCGTCCTTTGCCCTGCTACCGTATCTCCTCCAGGCTCATTTTCTCTAGTTGGGAAAATAGATTATGTTTAGACTATGAGCTACGGGGCCTGATCTGTTAGTCGCAGCTAGGTATGAAATGTGAGAGGAATCTGCAGTCCTCAAGTCTCCCTGGAAATAATGTGGCCAATAGATGAATGCTGCAAATCTCTCTCATCTTTTTGCATAGGTGGTTATGCTTTTATTTATTTATTACTCTTTAGCCTTATGAAGATACTGGATTAATGTGTCAGCTGTTGAATGTTTTAACTTGTGTGTAGTAAAATCTGTGGAAAAGAAATCGTTTAACTGGAAGAATTGGAGAAGAGTACCTTCTCTTTCCTGCAGCAGAGTTACTGTCTTATAAGTAATTACTGTATACGGTGTCTGTGAAGGTACTAGAAATGTCTGCACTAGATATTCTTCTCCGTTCTTTCCATTACCTGATTTGAAATAAAAATTGATCTAACTCTCTCTCTCTGCGCCTCCAACAGCTGTAGGATTTGGAATGGATCCTGACTTACAGATTGATATCATCACAGAACTGGATCTTGTGAATACAACCCTTGGGGTAACACAAGTGTCAGGACTACACAATGCCAGCAAAGCATTTTTATTCCAAGGTAAGACAAACATCTTATCTCACTTCTGTCTGCATGAGCTCATAAGAGCTTTGATGCCTAACTGATTCCCTGTAATGGTGGTCTTGCTTAACTGTCGCTTTCTTTTATTTTTATTTTTTGGAAATAGTCCTTGTTACTTTCCTGAAATACATATGGCATTTTTCTTTTGGCGTGTGTCAGGTAGTTGAGGTTAGAGACCTTTAGGGAAGTATTTTTGGGTAGGTTTTCAACACTCCCCAATACTTATTTCTAACTAAATATGTCAAAGTGCTTCCAAGGCATGGACTGGGTTGTATTCTTGTGTACTTTCTCTCTGTGATTGTACACATGCATAGCTGAAGCTATGTAACTATGAGCAAGCATTTAATGTGTTGACACTGGGTAGCAAGTCTTTCATCAACTTTGTGAAAACTGTTGAAGTGGGAAAATTGAACAGTGTTGCATTTAACTGTCCAAGCTGAGTACCAAGTACAGAGTAAGTCACTTTGAATTGTGATTTGTTTTCATTCAGTATTCTAAGATAACGCTTGTGAAGTGTTTGAAAACAGTGTTGTGAGGTTTTTTTAATTATTTTTTTATTTTTAGTGAGTGAAATTCTGGACGAATTAACAAGTTTTACCTTGAAAGGTAAAAAAACATACAAGTTTATTTAAGTAAGGTCCAGATTAAGAGACAACATCGCATGGGGTGGAAGCACTGAGTTGCTACAATATGCTTATTAGGCGAGAAAGACGTTTGTATCAGTTGAGATGAACATGCACATTAAAGCACAGCTGGGAACATTTTTATTGTGGAGGCTTCCTGTGTTTGTTTTTTCTTTACTCGGTGTTGAAGCGTGCACGTTAGTGTCTCACTTTTTGATATCTGTCCTCTGTAGCTGTTTTTAGAGGCAAATGATTATGATCTCATTTAAGTTTAGTTCTGGATCTGCAATGCTAACTGACTTTATCGTAAGTCATAAAAGAAGTGGGTCTATAATCTTGGTTCATTCTTTACCTGGCCAAGGCCAATTTAGGAGCCAGAGCAGAGGGACTTCTGGAGACCTTCTCAGAATTTGTTAGTCGTATTTCCAATCTTCTATGACACAAAGAGTAGCACAATTTTCACTGATTCCTGGATTAATGTCCAGAAGGGCAGCGTTAATTTATTCATTTGAAGATATCAATTGTTTTTCTTCCAACACCCTCACTACAGGGTTGTGTATTATGGACAAACAATATTAAAGTACAGTCATAAAGAATATTAAAGTACAGTCATTGCTCTGAGGACTGCAATGGCCTAACTACCTTAAAATATTTCAGTGTTTCCAATTGCTGTTCCATGCAGCTAATTGCAGCCACGCTGACGAACTGTCATGGTGAGTTTTCACAGACCGGTGGTCAGAGCTGCAGGGAAGAAGACTGAGATGTGTTTTTTGGGACGCCGATTGAAACCATTGGTACTGAAAGTAGCTTTGAAAGGCTAACGGTGAAGATGTTATGGATATTCAGTTATTTTTGCCTTGGGGGACCCCACCTGTAGTTTACAAACTTAGAGAAGACTAGTGTAAAAAAGGTAGAGTTTGTAAAATTCACAGGAGCAGATAAATTGGAAGACAGATGTTCATGGGAAGCAATGAACAAAAATTCACTGTATGAAGTGAATAAACAGTTTGAAATCTGTAGTTAGGTAAATAAAGCTTTTTTAATTCCCACAATGAAATTCTTCTTGCTGATGCACACAGGAATAGCCCTGTGCTTGGATATCACCTCTAGTATAAAACTTCTTGGAAGATGGCTCAGGAAAATTATTCTCTTCAGTAAAGCTCATCAGCCCTTGGGCTGGGAGAAGACTGAAGACGTTTGGTCTATTACTCCATCCTGAGAGAGGTCTGCGAGGGGTCTTTTGCTGCTGCTGTCAGACGGGATTGAAGTCCGAGGCCGCTCCATTGGCTGTTTCCCTTCGTGTTCGTATCTGTTATTTGTTAAATGTCAGCAGTATGTCGGCAGCTGTATGAATTCCCTTTTGCTAACAGAGGTGACTTACTTTACAGCTACAGTTTGGCTGTGCGCCAGGTCCTTTGGCTGGAACCAGGAGATACTTAGTTTTGATTTTCATCTTGCCATACAGTCAAACCGATACAGAACTGGGGGCAATGTATGGACAACTGCTAGGTCTAAGTTAGAAGTTATGCTTTTTCCCACAGAGATTCACAAAAAACCCCCGGCCAACGTGACATTCCCAGAGGAGAGAAAAGACTGGAAGTTAGTGCTTAGTTTCAAAATTACAGTGTCCTCTTGGACTAGCTATTCTAGTCTCCAAGATGTGGTCCTTCCAGCAAAGCTTTGCTTTGATTAGTTCCTACCGCATGTGAGTGGTTAATGGATGGTGTGCCTCGCTGCGCCACGCCTTCCAGCAAAGCTTTGCTTTGATTAGTTGCTACCGCATGTGAGTAGTTAATGGACGGTGTGCCTCGCTGCGCCACGCTGCTCCAGCGTTGCCGCTGGGGCTCTGGGCAGGGCAGGACCTGCTTCACCTGGCAGGCTGATTGCTGAATGTGGAGCCGCATTAGAAGACCTCTTCACTCGTAGGCTTTCACCGCTGAGGATTTCCTAGTTGAGGAAATGAGAAGAGTTTGAGAGTTCTTCGGCGTGCGGTTTTCATAGGGACAGTTTTGCCCGCCGCCTTTGGCAGTGTCTTTACAGCAATGTAATGGGGCTCTGAGCTTACACAAAGGTTCCCCGCGGATCATTTTGTGTCTTGTAAAATGTATTTCCTAAAATGGCTTTACTAGAGCTGTTCAAACTGAGAGTGCTCCTTTGTGTGTCCCTGGAAGTCTACATCTTTGAGGTAGAGAAATGGTAATTTTTCCCCAACCCAGACAGTTATGTGTACAGCTGTAGTGAAAATATGGGTTGTTCTCCTAAGCAATCTTTTTCTGTGAATTAAACTCTTTGAAAAGGAAAGATTTAAAAGTTTTGGGCGTTCTTTCAGTTGCATTTAGAGGCAAAAAGAAGAAATGAAGAAGGGGGGTGATGGGAAGACATGCACAAAAGAAAAAGAAACTATTATATTTAATTAGATTTTTTTTGATCAGCGGTGTTAGCTCTCTTACAGTGACATACTCTTTGTTACAAAGTTTCTGGGGAGTGATGTCATGATTTGATTTATCCTAGAGAAAATGGTAGGAGGACTCTTTTGCCTGGAGAGTTAGCGATTTCAGTCCAAGACAACCTCAGTGAAGCCAGTGGAGTATTCTGATTTTATAATAATATTGGTAGTAACAGCTGAAACTCGGATTTCCGTGTGAAGCAGCTTTACAGGCAAAGAAACAAATTCAGCTCTGTCGCAAATTGTGTGACAGCATGATAGAACCAAAGTGGCAATTGAGAGATGTGGGTTGCCTTTGGGCAAGCAAATCTGTTTCTAATTCAGAAAAGCATAGAAACCTATAATTAAATGTAGTCATCTGAGTGGTCCTGTTGGGCATGGACTTCGATTATTAGAGTATTTCAGCTGGATTTTTGATTGATCAGTTCCATTATTTGTGTGTTTCAGTTCCATTCTCTGTGAAATGGGGATGAGGGAATCCAAAAAGCAGCGTACGTGCTGACAGTGTGAATTAGATTAAATGTGGATATCTAACTCGTAATGCAATTCTGCAAACAGTCTGAGTCCTAATATTCCCAACATTACGGTGTCTTAATTATTTATCTTTTATTTATTTATACAAACAAGAGTGGGGAAAAAAGTCTTTGTGTCCAGGTGGGCTGTTCTACCACGAAGGGACAAAGGAGGGCGAGTGGAGATTCTTGACTAGAGTGCTCTTGGGGAACGGGGCACCCAAGGACCTGGTGTGTGACCCCACATCTCGTCGCTTCCTACCAGGAGTCCAAAGAATTCAAGGAAACAGTTCTGGGGGTGGGTGGGAAATCTACCTCAAAGAAATGTATTGAAAATATTAATCATCCACCTAATGCACAAAGAAATGTATTGAAAATATTAATCATCATCCACCTAATGCGTTACAATAACATCTTACAAACATTGAGTGAAAGACATCTGTAAATAGTATCTTACAATCATGACAAAACGATACTGAAATTCCTAGAACAGGATTATAGTATAAATTTTAGTACGTTGAGAAACACTGAGCCATGGCTCACTTACTGGGGCTCAGTCCTGTTCTATGTTTCAGATGGCAGGGAAGCAGGGCTTGTTTTGACCCTGGAGGTGGAAACCCAGCAGGATCTTGAGTTCAGTGGCAGAGAAGGGCTCTAATTATAAATAAGGCAAGAGGAGGTGCTTAACTGGTCGTCCTGTTTCTAGGTAGACTGAGCCCAATTTTTAGCCTAGCTGTTACATTATGTGATTACCTTAACCAGTCTGACTTCTGTTCTGTGCTCAGTTCTCGTTGGGGAAGTAAAATTTTATTCCTTTTACAACCTGTCATCTATGCCCATTTCTTTTTAATTCTTCTTCTCGCAACATCTCTTTTGAACTAACAGGGGCTTAAAGCCTTTACTTATAAAGCAGTTCCCCCAAGAAGTTTATTAAGGCTTTGCTGTTTCCTTTCCTGGCAATCTGGCAGTATTTTTCAACTTAGTCTTTAAATTAGGAATGGTCTTTTTACTATGTATACTATGTATAGCACTCAGTAAAATAAACCACCAAGTACCGTTAAAAGTCTAGCTGTATGTAGTCCTTTCTTCCTTGACCGTTTCTTTACTTGTATTAAACAACCGCTGGATTTATAAGAGAAACACCTGGCCCGCAGCTCCTGCAGCACAGAGTTCAGACATGCTCCTTCTTCCCGCTTTGTACTGGTGACTGCCGAGTTCTTTTCTGTACAGTCATGGCTCCACTAGGAAAGGTGAAAGAATAACAAGTATCTTAAGGCACGGAGAAAGGCAACGCTTTTGTGAGAAAAGAGTGAATCTTGTTGAGTTCCTGAAACAAAAGGGCCATCCTGCTTCAGGCCAAAGCTGCAGCCCAAGGAGGCAGAGGTGCCTCCCAGCAAA